TCAAGGAAAATACATATTATTTTGCTAAAATATGAAGAAATGCAGTTACCTACTTTAACATGTGATTAATATACATGGATGGTTTCCTAGGACTTAATGAGAGCAATGTTTTTGTTTGTTTGTTTGTTTGTTTGTCTTAATCTGGTAATATGTCTTTATTTGCTCCCCTCTCATCAACTCCCTAACCTAAAATTTGTTATGTAATCTCATTTTTCAGCAGTTAAAATGAATAGTAGGTAATTTCATTGTAAGAACTCTGAAAATTTCTGAATTCCATCATGAAGCTATTATCAAAATATTAGGAGTAAGAATATGACACAAAACCAAGGTTGACTATGCAGTTAAAAAGAGATGGAGAGGACTCTGATGTGTTTAAATTCCCCTTTGTCCATTTGGACAAAATATAAAACTGCAGAACTGCAGAAGCATCATTTAAAATGTATATCACTGGCAAAAGTAAGTCTTATTTTTATCAGCTAAAGAAAATAAAATATATGTTTTAAAATGTCAGTACCTGTAACAATTGCTTTGCTTTAAAGTGTAAGGACGATTGGAGCCATAACTCTGTAAGCACAATGCTCTATCACTGTCTGTGAGGGTTCCCTTTGCAATTTTTGATTTATGTCAGGCAAGTTTACCAACAACACTCAAAGTTTCTTACTATCTCCAACTGTATAAAACTTATATATGTATAGTAAAACTTATATATCTATAGTAAAACAGGGCTACTCATATAATCAACAAAGATGTTAGATAAAATCAGTTTCCCATATCTGATGAGATAAGGAAGCCAGCATGATAAACTCCTACCTACTACAGATGCTGAATCAGAAGAATAATGAACTGGATGAATAAAGGACAATTTGATAGAAATATTGCTGTCCTTTATGAACTAATAGTTAAATATGTCATAGAAATACAGTCAGTAGTTGCAGTATTATTTTATTTTAATTTGAATTTTTGTGTTAGTGGGAATCAGGTAGAATGCCATTCAAAAAATAAGTGACGAACAAGAGAAGAGCAATCGCAATTTAATTTCTTCCCATGCTATAGGATAAAAAAAAAATCGATATCACAGGAATGAACAGAGAGAGAAAAAATGCCATTATTGTAATCCTGAGGGAATGGGGTATAAGACAAATTTTGGAACGGTCCCTTCTATCCACCATGACTTCATCATGGCACTATACTGGGGGCTCTGCTATATTTGAAGCTGCATCAGCAACTCGTTTCCTGGTAGGAGAAGATGCTGAAAGGGTAACTGAGAACCTAGAAATTAATAGAGTTAAGTGTTCAAAAAATACTGAATAAAATGAAGTAAATGAGACTCCAAACAACCACCTGTGGTATTTTTTATGGAATTTCTGGAGTAAAGCATAGATTTACCCATAGTTTCCAAGATCAGAAGCAGTTACTAGAAAGTACAAAACTATGGCATTTCAGTTCAAAAGGCATAACATAATATAATTATGAGAAAAATCAAGCAAATTCATCATGAAGATATTCTTTAAAACAACTCATTAACCCTTCAGAAATAATCACATTGTGAACAACAAAGGAAGGCTGAAAAACTATTCAGAATTAGAAGAGCCTAGAGAAAAAAAGATGATTAAATGCAACATATGACGGTGGATTAGACTCTACATCAGGAAAAAAAAAAGGGAAATTTGGCTACATAGAACATTATTGGTCAGTGAGCATAATTTGAATAAAAGCTATATATTGTATCAGTGTTAACATTTTTTTTCAGTGTTAAAATTATTGATTTTGATAGGTGTACTGTGGCTATGCAAGAGAAGGTCCCTGCACTTAGGAAAACACAGGCTGGAGTGTTTAGATGTAGCAGGTCATAATGTTTGCAATTTACTGTCATGAGTACTAGGCAGGACTAGAAATAGCCAGAGGGTCAAAAGATGAACAACCCATGAATCTAAATGAATGACGTTGATATTCACATGACTATTCTTATAACTTTTCTGTAAGTTTGAAATTATTTTAAAATAATGAGTTAAAAACAAAGGTATAACAAACATTCATGCTATGGCTCTGGTAATGGCTGATCATGTGGACTTTGAGCTTATTTCCTCTGTAAAATAAACATAATCTGCCCCTTCTGTCTTAGAGGTATGGATCAGTGACATAATGGGGTTCACAAAGTAATATTTACTTTTTCTAAGATTTGGACAGATATTTTAGAGGAAAGAAAAGTGTGATTTTTCAACCCATATCACAGATGAAATTTAGTTAGATTTTAGATAGAAACTTTAACTTTTGTTTTCAATTCTAATACAACTATGCCTCAATTAAAGAATGCCCTAAAAGCGAAGCTTTTCTCTGTAACGGTAGTAGGAGATTTTAAACTAAGAGTAAAAATTACTAAAACAAGTAAATTTAAAAAATGCATATAGCCATGTGACTATGGGTACTTGCTGCTTACAGTTTTATGGTATCAGTGCTATTATCCTGGTGAACACTTCCATTTCTTGCATTTCAAGTATAAGTGAACAGAAGTCATCATAGTCAGTGTTCTGAAGTTTGAGAAGGACCAATTTGGTATAAGGAACATCTTTGACGTCTCTCCTGGGCACTAGTTTTTTGTTGTTGTTGTTGTTTTTGTTTGTTTGTTTGTTTTACTGTGTATTGGGGATACAAAGATAATACATTCTTTACAGTTCTAGCTCTTTACTGTTTCTTCTTCACATACCCAAAGTCCTCCTATTCTTTTGATTTTACTCTTCATTAAAACAGGGGTACTTTGATAAGTCATATATTTATACTTTCCCCCTCATATTTTGGCTGAATCTTACTCAGAGCATTACCTCAACCAGTTTTATTATAACCTGGAATAATATGAGAATCACTTGTGTCATTCCTGCAATAGATCAACACCACTGAAAATCTTAGAAAAATAAATCCCATTTTCCCCAATCGCTTTCATCATCAGCTGGTTCACTCTTCCTCCATAACCAAACTTCTCAAAGCAACTTCTCAAAATTACTGGTATTTTAACAAATGCCAAATTCAACATTTTCTTAATCTGTATTATTTTTGTGAAGTGATTGACCCAGCCAACCACTCTGGTCTTTTATTCTGGAACTTTTTTCCCTTAGACTTCTAGAAAGTCTGTATTATCTCTTTGACCATAGCCTCTGATTTTTATTTGGTTTCATTCTCCATGGTTCTGATCTTGGCACACTTCTCTTTTTTCCCTTTTGGGATTACATGTAATTAAGTTATCTCAAGATGACTTCCAGGAAGTCTTCAACTCCAGACTCATCTTTCCTCTTCAACATCATGTACTTGGCACAATCACCTGCTTTATATCACTATGCCTAGTCTATACATATCACATTATCCATAGTGTGCCAGGGCCTCCAATTCTCTATTTCCAAACCTACCCTCGCATCAGCATGTCTACAGCTCTGTGAAACAGACCAGTCAGAAAAGGAAACTAGAAAAGGAGAGACATTTTTTATAGAATGAAAAAGAGAGCTTCATATAGCAGGAATAGTGTGTAGTGTTCTACAGTAAGAAATAGGAAAACTAGGTACTCCTTGTAATAATTTAACTTGGGATAGCTATGTACAAATTGATTTGAAGTGATGAAAGAGGAGATGTAAGATGGAAGCCGGAAAAGAGAGAGAGCAAGTGCAAGTGAGTACATAGGGGCGGAAGTTTGAATGTCAAGCATAACAATAAAATGTGGCACCTTATGCCCTTTTATTTATTCTTTACTAAAATAGAAAAGTTCTTCACCTGAATAGATTGTTACTTGAAGATAATTTTTAACTTACCATGATAAATCGGTCTTTCAAGAATATTTAGGGAAATATCTTCTCAGAATAAAATCTAGCTTATACTGTTACAGAACAGTATGCATTAATGTTTAAAAATTAGTCAAAACCTCCCACAGGAGAAAGAGCTAAATTACAGTTCAAATAATACTTTTTAGCTTGAAATATACCCCATACTGTTAGATAATGCAAGGATGTTGAGAAAAGTAACTAAAAACTAATTCACCAAGTTTGTAAAATCAAATATTCTATACTCTAGGTAATCTTAATATTTCTCAGTCACTGTAAATCAGATTATTCTTGAGATTGTATTTAAGTCAAGGTAAGATAGTCTTCTATTTATAAAGGTAATTTAGTCTCCTGAGTAGGTAATCTTGTTAAAATATTGTCAGGTTAACTGAAATTGATTTGTGTTTACTAAACATAGTGAATACTAATCAAACATTAGACACTGAGGTGTTAGAGGTATTTAAACCTTTGATAGACACTATTAGTGTTTCACGGAAGGATTATTTTTTGTCTTGGAGGTCAACATTGCTTTTTAGTTTGTTCTTTCAAATAAAGATAAAATGAGGAGTAATGGCCTGCATTTGCTTTATGAAATTTTGTGGTTTGGGAATATTTGGGAGAATTTGGGATTGGTTTTGGGGGGATTATTTATGTTTTATTTCCTTTGCTACAAACACCACATTTGCTTTTCCATCTGCTTAATTCCATTCCAGGTTTGCTATTCTCTACCACTCATAGCATCATTGAGCTCCACATAATCGCTTTTATAGGAGACAGACATTACTAGGCAATTTGAAAAGCAGGTTGAAGATAAAGCCTAATAGCTCACGTGCCCTGGCCTGGTGACTTGGCTCACTTCCGAAGCTTATACCAAATGGGCTGCGTGCATTCCTGTGGTGTCTGTGTATCAGCTCTATGAGGCTTAAAGAAACATTTCCCCTAATACAATAATAAACCCACCATAATCATCCATTTTGGGGGAATTTTACAGTTGTTGGTTAACCTGCTCCCTTATGCCCTGCAATATTCATTAGCAGATTTCTCTGTTTATGAGTGATATTATATGGAAATGGTTATGGGAAGCTAACAGATGTAACCACTGAAATAAATTAGAAGAAAAAGTTCTGTTTTTTACAGATGGTTGTATTGAATATGCTCCCCCCCCCCGCACTTTAACATTTAGTTTTCTTTCAACAGAAAACTTTTCTTTACTGACTATGGGAATGTGGCCAAAGTGGAGCGATGTGACATGGATGGGCTGAATAGAACAAGGATAATTGATTCAAAGACAGAGCAGCCAGCTGCACTGGCACTAGACCTAGTCAACAAATTGGTTTACTGGGTAGATCTTTACTTGGACTATGTGGAAGTGGTGGACTATCAAGGAAAAAACAGACATACTATCATTCAAGGCAGACAAGTAAGTACAATTTTGTTAGAAAATGCAGCTAAGGTGATAAAATGAACGGTGTCATACTAGGAAGAAGACCTAAAATTTGAATTAGAATGTTGAAAATTTCTTATGAAGTCAAGCTGCAAAGGGTCATAAAAATTGTGATGTATTTCCTATATGGGAGAATGTTCTTTTCACAGTACATTCCATAATGCCTCTGATTTCCTCCTTTGCTCTATTAAAAACAAAGCACACAAAACAAAAGGCAACAAAAATAAAATAAAAACAATAAGCAAAAGTGCCACACTTCTAAGAAAAGAATTAGGATAAGACAGATGTTTTGACCTTTTAAAAGTAAAACTTACTAAAATCTAATTTAAATAGTTCATTTATAAGGAGCTACACTATCATCTATCCCATGTGGCCTTGGAGATACTGTTCTAACAAAAGCAAATGCCTGCTCACAACAACAGTTTTATTATTTTCAAAGGTTGAACTAAATTTTGCCTTTTGATGTATTCAAGTGCTTCTTAGAATAAGAATTCTGTGAAAGTCACTGAGGTCAAGATCTTTCCCATCTGTATAGTTTTTGCCTTGCTGAATTAAAAGGTTTTGCAGATAACACTCAGTAGACACTGAAAGGAGATCTCTAAGTAGAAATAAGCTTATTTGCTAATGTACTTTCTCAAATTCAATTTTACCTCAGTGATTGCACTAATTTCTTGTGAGATTCTTATTCTATGGAGATGAAATACATGAATCCCTTTTCTTTCTTTTGCAATCCAAGATGAAAGTATTCTGTAATGATCCCTTAAAGTTACCTTCCCTTCCTAATCAGTTTTAACAAAAATTCTTTTTCCTTCTTTGACAGACAAACAAATGCACCAAGCTGGGAATTAAAAAAAAAAAAAAAAAAAGAAAGAAAGAAAGAAAGACAGGTGTGCAATATTAGAGATGAGGCCAGTTATATCTTTCATTCTTTTGCCTAAAAATCTTAATTTCTTTGGAAAGTCTTAGTTATGACTTTTAGAGGATCTAATCTCTAAAATGATTATGATAGGTCATCTTTTTACCTATATGTAATTAAAACTCTAAACTTTGAAACAAGGATAAAAAATTCAAATAATTTTCCTCCTGATTACTTTTAAAAAGTTTTCTAATGTCTGGTTTTCAATTGTTCATTTTTTTCGTTTCCTTTTTTTTTTTTTTTTTTTTTCTGATTCCCTAAACATATGCTTACTGGGCCACTAAGTCATCCAACATAGATACATTTTTTTTCTAAATATCTGTACTGTAGGCAGAATGGTCTAGCCACAACTCTAAGCTCCTCCCGCCTGTGTCAGGAGTAGCAGAGCAGGCAACAGTGTACTTACTTTATGGAAAACAGTCTCTTCTGAAGAAAGGAACAGGGACAGTGAGTACAATTTCATATTTTCTTCCCTGCCCAATTGTCCCTTCTGTGGCTGTGCTTTTCCCTCTTGGGTGTGGATTGGCAATTATGTAAAGACCAATGTAGGTATGCCACAACCACACTCCCAGATGATTGGCTCCAAACTTTGGGCAAAACAGGCATGAGATTAATTGTAATGGAAAAATTGAGTTTACTTGCAATTTTTATAGGAAAAAGTTTTGCTCAAGTCAAATTTGAGTTTGGATTTATCTAGGGAATATGATGTCAGCTTATGTGCAAATGATATTAGTAAATAAACACATGACACCGCCATCCCTTCTCTCTGGCACATGCACCTGTGCATGCATGCACACACACACTCAAAAGCACATGCACACACACACACACACACACACTGAGGAATGACCCTTACGCTGCAAAACATTATTTGGGCTTTATTTTGGGCTCCTCATTAATTCCTATCTTACATTTCTCAGTTGGTTAATTTTCTGCTTTTGGCTTAGGTCATGATCACGGTCCTGGAATGAGCCCCCAGTCCGGCTCCTTGGTTAGTGGGATTCTGCTTCACCTTCCTCCTCTGCTCCTACCCCCACCTTGCTCTCTCTCTCCCTCTCTCTCTCAAATAAATAAATAAAATATTAAAAAAAATAAATTCCTACAGTCAAACCGTACATACTTTTTCAAATTCTCTTAACTACAAATCTATACTAAAAGTACCATATAATGCCAAAGAATTGTGAAAGATTTTTCCAACAGAATCTCTACAGCAAATTGAATCATAACCCCACCCCACCCCGACACAGAACCATTTTAAATTAACTATAATAGGAGGAATGTTAAAAAGCATTGTACTTAGCATGTATGAGAAAATGAGTCAACTCATTCTTCCTCTGCTTTACTCAAAACTTGCCATGACTGCAAGATGTCCAATCCTCCACTCAATTCCCAGGACCTCTGCCTAGGAGAGTTATATTGTTCAAGTGCTATTAGTTACATTTCCAGTATGAATAGGCTTTAGAAACATGTGATTTCTGAGTAAAGTGCTGTCTTTTTAAAAAAATTATTCCAAATACATAGTTTCATTATTTATTGTTTGCCATTCTGGGACAAGTATTCATCTAAATGTAACTAGTGGCTTAAAAAAGTGGGATTTAATATATATATATATATATATGGGATTTTGAACTTATAAAATAAATTTTAAAGGTTTTTTCTCATCAGTCCTTACATAGCCGGTGCTATACTTTAGATTTTGTATCTCCTGACTATATGAACAAGCAGTCCATAAAAAAATCTCAAATTTTATAGAACACTGCCATAAGCATCTTATTGAGTTTGCTTGGAAGTTTTGTTCTCATTTGCCTTTGAAAAGTAGCTACTAAACATGTTTTCTTAATGAATCATGAATAAAATTCTCCACATATCTGGAACTGCTTTATCTACTACTGCATAATGTTTTCTTTTCAGAGAAAAAATTAAATTAGTAAAATGTTTAATTCTTTGAGAGAAAATAAATGATGATATGTGTGTGACTCTCCTACTATGGGAATTTTCCCACAGTAGTAAATAGCAATCAGTTTTTCTTTCAAGTTGAAAGCAGCATAATTAAAAATCATAGTTATTTTTGCCCCTCCATATAGGTCAGACATCTTTATGGCATAACTGTGTTTGAAGACTATTTATATGCAACCAATTCTGATAACTTCAATATCATAAGGATAAACCGATTTAATGGCACAGATATTCATTCATTAATTAAAATGGAAAATGCTCGAGGAATCCGAATTTATCAAAAAAGAACTCAACCAACAGGTAAGACACAAGACTTCTTCATTGCCTTTAAAATGGTGGGCTGAATGGGCTATGGTCCTTGTACTTTGCATGGAATTAAGGTGGGTGAGTCATAAATTCTTTTGATAGCAAAAGTGTGCATGTCTGCTTGATAAAATGGAATAGCACTCCCTGCACAAGTCTAAATGACAAATTGTTCAGTTCCTAGTGAATTGTTTCTACAACCACAGAATTGAAATGATGGCTAGATTTAGATTCAGGAAAGAGCTTTCAATCATGATGTGTGTAGACAGATGCTAAGATGCTAAAGTTTTTGTTTGTTTGTTTGTTTGTTTGTTTTGGTATCATTTTGGGAGACATTTCAAATCAGGTGACTCTATTAGAATATCTACCCAGTTTTTATTGCAGTCATTCTGATCTCTTAACTTACCCTAGTTATTCTTTAATACAAATTAATTAAAAAATAACTTTTAATGAGAGGTTGTAATGTTTCTAATTATTTCTTAAAGATACAAACTAGTTATTTTTGCATAGTAAGTTAGTGATCTTTGTTCATCAATACAATTTATGTTCAATTATATATAGAATAATGTGACATACAAGAATAACCAAACCCAAATTTTCATCCCGTTTTTGTGCTTCAAATTGAAACTACTTTAGAATTATCTAAATATTAACATAGATTTATTTGAGAAAATGTATTTTGACAAATCTGTTTACAGCACATTTAAATTTGGAATTCTGTAAGCAACCTTATTAGAGTTTGCTGTTAGGATTTATTTATTTGTCAGTTATTCATTGACCGTTACTGTGTACCAGAAACATTGTATAGACATTATTGTATAGACACAGAAGTGAATAAAACAGCCGAAAAATTCTTGCTTATATGAGATTTGCATCCCAACAGAGAAAACATAATTTTAAAATGATCAAGTAAATTATTATTATTTTAGAAGATTAAGTGCTATAGAGAAAAATAAAGCATAGAGGAAGTCTCAGGGATGAGGGTGGTTTGCAATTTTATATTGAATGGTCGGAGGAAGTCCCACTGGAATAATGAAATTAAATGAAGACTTGAAATAATTGAAGAAGTAAGGCACAGACATGGCAGGTAAAGAGATTAGCAAACACAAAACCCATACGGAAGAACATGCTTAGATTTTTCAAGGAACAGCAAGGAGACCTGTGTGTCTAAAGCAGAATGGAAAAGGGAAAAACAGGTAGAAGAATGAGTCTGGAGAAATGAAGGAGGACTATAATAAGTAGAGCCCTAGAGATAATTCTAGAACCTTCTCCTTATACTTTTATTGAGATGAGGAGTCCTTAGGAAGCATTAAGCAGAGGAATCTCATGATATGACTGACTAAAGGAATCAGTATGGCTACTGTGTTGACAATAGGCTATGGGGGATAAGAGTGGGGGTTAAAGAGCTTTTCATTTAGAAAATCAGGAATGCAAAACAAACATGTCACAATTTTTAAAAGCATAACTGTTTATTAAATTAAAAGAAAATTGCCATGTTATTTGTCACAATTTCAAGTGTTGATCAAAAAAGAAATATTATAAAGTATATAAAATATTACTGATACTATTCCTACCACAGCTTTTTTTTTTTAATTCATCTTTTTCTCATTCTCTTCACACAGTACTTTTCCTTTTCTTTTTTCCTTCTCTAACTTCTACATTCATGAAATATCCTTCTATGTCTTAATCTCCACATGTAAACTAGCATACTCCTTTTGAAATTTATGCATGCACACACACACATTCACTTTGTGGTAGAGTTCTCAAAATGGCAACGGACTCAAAACTAAAAAAAAAAAAAAAGTCTCAGGACTTCTCAATAAAGATAGTTACTGAATCCTATATCTTCTAGGTTAAGTGCCCATATAATGGATTATTTCAAAAGAAATACTTTCTCTGCTTAATGACCTAACCTGGCATATTTTTACAGTTATCTTTTTATATTTGTAAGAAATATGTATTTTTATTTTTATTTTTTCTCTGCAATGCAGAAATATGTATTTTTAAAAAGAACAAGCATGCATCCAAAAAATCATATAATATATTTTACTTACATGTAAACAGTTTAAATTAATATAAAAACAGAATTGTTTTCTTAAACATATTTTTAAGAGGACTTTGGCAAATTCCTACCTCTACTTCTGTGAGGTTGAAACTCTTTTTGCAATTGATTATGGTAATAAATAGCTGGGTATAAAGATTTGTGGTAGGATTCCCTCTCCTTGCACTGCAAACGTTTCAACATACCGCTGATCTACATAATTATCTTGTCTTTGGAAATTTTCAAGTGTGCTGTTTTTTATTTCTCGTAGTCAGAAGCCATGCATGTGAAGTGGATCCATATGGAATGCCCGGGGGATGCTCACACATCTGTCTGCTCAGCAGCAGTTACAAAACACGGACCTGTCGCTGCAGGACGGGCTTCAACTTGGGAAGTGATGGCAGGTCGTGCAAAAGTATGTTGTTAAAATCAGACATTTTGCCAGCAGCCACTGCTTCAGAATAGATTTTTTGTTTATTAATTAGCAACATCAACATCAGCAATATCATAAGACTTCAACAGGTGAAATTTGCCTGCAAAATGTACCAGCTATTTTTCTCAGTATTCAGGGTTTTTTGTTTGTTTTGTTTTGTGATAATGCAAATGAGAAACTGAATCAGGCTATAGAATCATTAAATTTATGGATCCCTGGGAAACATACTTTAGGGTATATTTTTAGGAAGATCCTTTCCCTAATTCCTTAAAGAAGGTTTTTGATCTAATGAGTCCAAGTATTTGGTTGACCATATTTTCTGTTACATGAATTAAGAAGTTGCTTCTAGTAGTTGTTTAGTCCAACAGAAATCCACATAATATAATGTTTCATCTTATCCAGAATCGCTGGGGAGTGAAATTCATTTCATTATTTAATTTTCCAGGTAACTGGAGCTAAACTAATTAAATATCAATCTCTTTAACAATTTTATTGAAAAGCTTTCTAATAGACACATCTTTGTTTTATTTTTGAAATATGCTGAATAATTTAATTGTTTCTTATTCAAATAATAAATAATTCATACATGACTTTATAAACTTAGATTGTTGCCCCAACATTAGTTAAATTTAGGTCTTTACTTGGGTCTTCATAATCAGATATAGTAGAATGATCCTTATGGAAACGATGTCCCTGTGGAGACTGTTGCCCTTTAAATGTCTCTCAATACCATAATTTTTAAAGTTATGATGACTGCTTTTTACAGTGCCCATTGTGTCTCCATTTTGTTATAGCAATGGCTTTTTTTTTTTAATGTATCTCTGATTTATTAGGTTGAAAATCAGTAAACATGTTTTTTTTAAACATATTTTTACATGATTTCCTTCACAAATTTTTTAGGTTTTTAAATTTTTTATAACTTTTTTTTTTTTATTTCTGTTAGTGTTCCCTCTCTGGTCACTGTCTTGCCATCTCTTCGACTTTCTTGTCATGTGCTTACTGAGGACTATGACATTAGATCACTATTTTGTTAAAATTTTAAGTCTAAATGGTAGCACAAATATTTTTAAATAACAACCCAGAAGGCTTCACTTTGATAAAATATATATATTAGTATTTTGTTTATATTTCTAACTTTGTATTAAATGCCGGGTCTCATGATCAAGAGATCATCTGGATAAATGAGAGAAGCCTCAAGATGAGTGAAGTTTTGTGTGTGTGTGTGTGTGTGTGTGTGTGTGACCAGCCTTTAAACTGGTATGGCTACCACTTGAAAAGTGATGGCATGTCATTAAAAAATGCAATCTACACATATATACATACATATTTGCATGTATGCATACATACATACATATGTTTAGAGAAAAATAGGATCACAGTTGCCTAAGTTTCAATCGCCCTTAATGTAGAGTATTGATCATGGTACATTTACATTAACAGAGACAATTCTAGTTATTTTAAGCAGGAAAAGATCAAATGCAAATAAATAGGTGCTTACACAATCAGAGATAATCCTGAAGCAGTCCTCAGTCCTCAGAACATCCCTCAAAACCACCATTGAACTACCCTGGCTTAAAACTGAAGACCTGCCACATTCAGAAGCCAGGGCATCAGGAAGCCACAAATGCCAATGGTAACTTCAAAAACACACCATTTTAACTGATACCCAGGAATTTCCACAACTTGCACCATGACTATTAGCTTTAGAAATATGCCACAACTGATAGTTCCCTACTGGTAAACAGAACAAAACAACACCCTCTTCCTTGTGCTTGATAAAACTCAAAGAACACTAATATGGAAAAATTCAATATCTCCTCCAGATAAATACCAATAGACGTAACAAAAGGCACCTTCATTTCCATATTATAAGCATGAGTTAATAGATCTTATTTTAAGTACTTAACACCAGACCCATTGCTCTATGAGTATTTCTGAACCGTAATTTTTAGTTTCAGTTGTTTATCATAGAAGAAAACACACTAGAAGAAACTTTAAAGTAGGTATTGAATAACAAAAGTAAGTGTCTTAAGTAAACAATGGGAAAATTGTTTTTTTCTTATTTAAAACACAGGCACCTGGGTGGTTTAGTAGGTCATGCATCGGACTCTTGGTTTTGGCTCAGGTCATGACCTCAGGGTTGTGAGATTAAGTCCTGAGATTAAGTCGTCTGCGCTCAGTAGGGAGTCGGCTTGAGATTCCCACCCTGCACCCACCCTCCACTATTTGCACTAAATAAATAAATAAACAAATAAATTCTTTAAAAATATGAAAAAGGACACACATATATACATTAAACCAATGAAATACTAGGTTTATCAATTACCAATGAAAATGTCAATTAAAAAGAAATGTTAGCTGGATGCCTGGGTGGCTCAGTCCATTAAGCATCTGCTTTCTGCTCAGGTCATGGTCCCAGGATCCTGTGACTGCGTTCTGCATCATCTGGCTCCTTGCTCAGTGGGAGGCCTGCTTCTCCCTCTGCCTGCTGCTCCTCCTGCTTGTGTGATCTTCCTCTCTGACAAATAAATAAATAAAATCTTTGAAAGAAAAAAAAAATCATAACAGATTGAGTATGGTGAAACTAGTGTTCTTATACATTGTTAATAGAATTGGAAATTGATATCACTGTTGGAAAGACATTTGATAAAATATTAAAAAAAAAATAAAACTAACAGTATCCTTAAATTATCCTTCTTTTGACTGAACAAATTCATTGTGAATGTATTTGTAATAATAAAAACCCAGAAACAATCTAAATATCCGACAATAGGTAAGCAGCTGACTATATCGTTGCCTCTTAATGCCTCTTAATAATTTTAATGTTGTCATTGAAAATAATGTTTTTGGGGGTACCTGGGTGACTCAGTTGGTTAAGCATCTGTCTTCAGCTCAGGTGTGATCTCAGGGTCCTGAGATTGAGCCCCAAATTGAGCTCCCTGTTCAGCAGGGAGTCTGCTTCTCCTCTCCCGTACTCCTGCTCTATGTCAAATAAAATAAATAAAATCCTTTGAAAAAAAGGAAATAATGTTTTGAAGACTTTAATGACAATTAGATATGATTTTTTTTAAATGAGGTACTGAAGTGTATATAGGATTCCTATTTTTATTTTTGTTTTTTTAAGATGCCTTTTTTTTTTTTTTAAGATTTTTATTTATTCATTTGAGAAACAGAGAGAGAACATGAGCAGAGGGGAGAGGAAGAAGCAGACTCCCCACTGAACAGGGAGCCAACAGGGACTAGATCTTAGGACCCTGAGATCATGACCTGAGCTGAAGGCAGATGCTTAACAATGTGAGCCACCCAGGTGCCCCTAAGATTCCTATTTTTATTTTTTATATTATTTTTAATGTTTTTTAAGATTTCTGTTTTTAAAAAAATGAAATATTTATGCATATAAAATTGGTAGAAATGTTAATTTTCAAATAAATCACTACTTTTAAATAATATGTGATACTATTTAAAAAATACTCTTGAAAGTAGGTGGACACTGAAAGGCTATGAGGGCAATGAGGAAGAAGGATGTTAATATTCTTTACCATTAATTCCATTTCTAGAAATGTATACTTAGAGATCATCTAAGATAATGTGTAAAATGCTAGGTTGAAGAAAAACATGCTTATCTCAGCATTATTATAATAATGAAAAGATAAAACCAATTGGGAACAGTTTGACACATTATCATATGCTGACTATACTGAAAGAATGAATGTAAGGCTTAAAGTAATAGGTCAACATAGAAAATAATTTTGATGCTAAGATTTGATAATAAAAGCAGAATATAAAATTGAGTGTCCTCTTCTATATAATTAATTGTGCATTAGAAAAATAAATTAATTAAGTTTGAAATAATCACATGAAGGAATATAATATAACAGTGGAAATATGTGAACAATGACTATAACAACCATAGGTAATATTACAGATGTAATAAGAATAAAATTAATTCACAGAAGAATTCACACATATAATTCAAACATGCAAAATCAAACAGTGTACTGTTGGGAAATACATGTAATATATGTATTAAAACTTGACAAAATACATGATAAAATAATCAGGATATTGGATGTCTTTGGGATGAAAGGTGAATAAGAAAATAAGGAGTGGAGAATTGGTTTAGGGCACATGCATACCTTTCAGTATTCTGGAAATATTTTTAAGATCTCTGCCAGATGCATGAAATTTGCTTTTTTAAAATATACTAAAATATAATAAATATCAGCTTATATACATTTAATATTCAGTAACATAAATTTTAAAAGAAAGTGAGAGAAAGAAAATATTTAAATGGACAGTATTGTTTGTATTGAGGGTATTGAGTTTATAAGTAATTGCTTATTTTTTTCCTCTTTTTTCTCCAAATTTTTTATAGTTTAGTTATCTTGCTTTGCTAAGAATCTCACTTATGGTACTGTTACCCAATTATAATTGAGTCATTTGTATCCTCAGTTTTACTAAAACTCAGTATGTTTTCCCTTTTATATAAAGTATTTTCTTCATGGGGTGCCTGGGTGGCTCAATGGGTTAAAGCCTCTGCCTTTGGCTCAGGTCATGATCTCAGGGTCCTGGAATTGAGCCCCGCATTGGGCTCTCTGCTCAGCAGGGAACCTGCTCCACCCCCCCCCCCGCCCCCGCCTGCCTCTCTGCCTACTTGTGATCTCTCTCTCTCTGTCAAATAAATAAATAAAATCTTAAAAAAAAAAAAAGTATTTTCTTCAAATTGTATAAACTAAACTAAGTCAATTGCTCTAGAAATTAAAGAGCACAGTGTGTATTTCCACATGAAAGTCTGAAGGAGTCAACTCACTATGTAGAAAAAACTACAATTGATTTTAGCATATTAACCTGGTAAATAGTTTTTTGTTTAGAGTTTTTGTTTTTGTTTTGTTTTGTTTTGTTTCATTTTTGATAAAGGCTGTGTTGTACATCAGAGTTACTGGCAGACAACATCAACCTCTTACATTCTAATTAAGATGTAAAGAAAAAAGTGAAGCTATAACTGGCATTTTATTTCATTTCTTAAAAAATAAATACATCACTTGTTTAGACATTTGTAATATATTCTCCTGCACGTTTGTGATACTATGTGATTCTATTTGTTTGCCTTTGACAGCCTTAGACGCAAACTCTGAGGCAGGGTGCTTTAAATATTCTGAAGTTTTTAGCATTGTCAGACATAATGAATGCTACAGTTAGTATCTACAGAATGTGTTAGATAGATTATAATGAATTGTAAAATTAAATGTGCCGGATGTTTTAATAAATGTCCATTTTACTATTACCAGTTATCCAATGATCTGTCATGTTTTTGCTATACAGACAGTTATAGACAAAAGAATAATTAACTAAATATAACCCATTCACGGAAGTAATTTCTGTTTTAATTAAAGTAATGCAATTAGCTGGACTTCTTGCATCAAGATACATTTGGCATATTTTAGAGTTTAATTTTTGGTATTGAATTTAAAAAACGCTAATTGTGCCAGTTAATTAAACAGTGGCATTCTGCAGTGTAAAGAAGATTAGACAGCCTCAGTTGTTTGTGTTTGTAATCTTTCTTCTGCAGGACCGAAGAATGAGTTGTTCCTCTTTTATGGGAAAGGACGCCCAGGAATTGTTAGAGGAATGGACTTGAATACCAAGATAGCTGATGAATACATGATCCCCATAGAGAATCTGGTAAACCCTCGTGCCTTAGATTTCCACGCAGAAACCAATTATATCTACTTTGCTGACACCACCAGTTTCCTAATTGGCCGGCAGAAGATAGATGGCACAGAGAGAGAAACCATCCTGAAAGATGGTAAGTGACAATATGTAGTATTAGCACTAAACTGCCCTGGGATACAGCGCTGTGAAAGGATAAATCCAACATATGTCAAACTCACTTCAACTGGAACCTAAGAACTTACTGTTGATTTAAAAATAGTTGTTGATTTAATTTTCTCAGTAACATTATTTCTATCTGTTTTTCACATACCAGAATATTAAAACCTCCCTAATAAAATTGAACTTGGAATTGTCCACCGCATTTTAAACATTACGGGAATTAAATTAAGCTACTTATTCACCTTCATGGAAAATGTAGATTTACAATTATATGTTTATAGTGCTATATGGCAGAACATAAGATTTAACAGGACATTAGAGACTTGTGTAATATTTGATTCTTACGAGGCTATTGGTCATGTCATTCAAAGTGCATTAAAAATATCAATGTCCCCATTGTCATTGCATTTCTTGCATATTGTTTCTTACTTTGTAAATCATTTAAACTGACTTCTCTGGAGTTGCCCTTGAAATATCTGTATTCACAGAGAAACTTGTTTATATCTAGTTTTACTTATAAATATTTATATGCAAGACTGTATCTACAAATTGCCTATAAATGCCTATACTTTTTTAAAACAGTGTATTTTATAAATTTCATGGCTTAGGAACAACCCATTAAGTAACACAATATTATAGCTTTAGTATAAATAGAAAATATTTTTAATAATCAAGCAAACCAAATATTTGACTACTAGTCAGTCACCTTTAGACATGTTCAGTAATGATTCTAGACCTGTTTAGTCACATACACAATCTGTTCACTTCTCGAATATTTTAAAAATCCTTGATTTAGGGAACATTAATTATATGTTTATTAGCTGAAAAACACTGTGCTAGCTATCTTAGGAGAGAAAAGGAATGTTAGAACATGGCTACTGCCTTTAGAGAGTTCATAATCTACCTTTGGAGAGAATATAAATGAACAAAAAATGTAAATGCTTTGCAACACTTAATTTAATTAAATTCAAATCAGACCTAAAGAAATATACTGTTATTGGAGAGTGTCCATGTAATGGATCACCACAGGGAGGAAGAGATGTCTTTATGTGAGTGTTCCTGGAGAACTTTGTGTACAGGAGAAGGTATTTGGGCTAGATCTTAAAGGAAGAATGTTAAAAGGTAGCGGAGGATATTTCGGCCACCAGGAATTCCATAGAAAAAAGAAAAAAAAAATCAAGTACTACAGAAAGAGGATGAAAGGGACATTATGTAGATCGTTACAGGATGTTTTGGTCATAGGGAATAGGGTCAGAGGAGCAGTGGAAAGTGAGAGGTCATGAAATTAAAGACTCAGAATGTGAGGTGAACAGGCTTGGAGGAAATCCTGACCCAGCTAAGAGGCAGGAAATGCTTCTGAGCCAAAGAATAACATGACTGAAAAGATATTTTAGGAGAATCAATCTGGTGGTGGAGGGCAGAATGGAGCAGAGAGGAAGGAGAGAGAATAAAAGCAGAGACAGACTGAAATAAATTACAGCATGAGTGGTAATGAGTGGTGGTCTCTCCTGACTTTGTGGGAATGGGGTAGGATGAGGAGATCATTCATTCAATTCAGATTCATTTTAAATCAAACCTTGAATGATAAAATGTACACTTCCCACATGTGACAAATGAAGTGTTAAAATGAAAAATATCCCTGATTTTGTTGTTGTTGTTTATAGTTTACTGTTTAAGACAATCTAAGGCCACCATGACTTTTTAGAGAGCTAATTAGAGTTAAGATTTTCAAGAGTTAAGATTTAAGTTAAGAGTGAAACTTAAATTGGAAATGACAGAGGCTGTCTGCCTGCTTTTCTCTGTCATGTGATTTCAGGTGATAGAAGATGGACAATTTTAGGACAATAGACTTGCACATTCTCTGTAAGCAGATATATTTGGATTGCTCTGATTTTGACCTAGAAATTTTCACGAAGGACTGAAATGTAACATGGAAGGTTCTTGGTTTCATTTCAAAAAGTGTCAGTTCCTGTGCTGTGACTGAATGTTCCAGCTAATAATCCTAACTTTGATAGCAATATCTTATCAGTGACATTGGTTGGTCTTTGCATTTCATCACAGCAACAGGGATCAGTTCTAATAGCTACTTGACTTCCAGGCACATCTGTACAGTGTTGCTTTGGCAGAATGAAGGTTATGAGAACATTTGTAGATTTCACACCTGAAATATACTTAACATTTTGATATTCCTATGCAAGGACAGCTTAATGTCTTTTTGTTAATCTTTTTTTCTTACCAGGAGGAAAGGTGGAGAATAACAATAGACATTATGATATAAGATTAACATGTCAAAACAAAAGTTGTATTTGGAAAATGACAACTTATCATTCTTGAAATCAGAAAAAAAAGAAATTCTATGTGTGTTCACTAATTTAGCTAGGATATCCACCCTCTAACCTGAATACTGGGAGACAATGCCTGGCTTGACAAATTATTTTGTAAGCTTGGTAGAAATTTTGAGTCTTAGATAAATTTGTACAGTTTGAAGTACAAGGCTATAAAGATTTTGCTGTTTGTAAATAAAACATTAATATCTTGGACATCTTTTATGTAAGCTTAGATCCTTTCTATAAAAAAAGAAAACACCAACAGCATTTCTAAAAAGGCCCACCTCTATTCATTCTTTGACTTTTTTTTCTCTCGGAGGTTTATGGAAAACTTCCTAAAGGTGGTATGTCCTATAGTCTGTAGAATCTTGTAGGCTAAAACAGTCGTTAAATAAAAGATAAAGGAAAATTTTCCCATTGAGATACTTACATCTATCTCAGTAAGTACTGAAAATGTCTATGAAATGAAGACATATTAGCAACTTAATTAAAATAGACTTCTGTAAAGACAAAGCATTTCCAATCTGTAAGTTTTTATTCTCTGGAATTCTTGCCATAATTTTTGTAAAATTTTTACTGTTTCTTTTAATTAATTATTTTGATTTATTTATTTATCCAGTTAGTAAATAAAATCTGCAAATGCCTTCACTAGTCTAGGTGCTATTGTAGGTGATGGGAATGCTATAGTTAACAGGATAAAGCTTTATATTTAGTTTGTATCTAAATAGTGAGAGGCAGATAATAAATAAACACATATATGAACAAGATAATGATAACTGCTGTAGTGGAAATAAAGTAGGATGCTGTGGTAAAAAGTAAAAGGTGTTATCAACAGGAGGCAAATTAGACTAAGTGGTGAGGGAATTTAAAGTACCCATTCTTCCCAGTTGTAATTGTTATACTATCTAAGACAAGATAGATGATCTTTATAAGATCAAATTCACTTTTATCTTCTTGGGTGTCTTGTCCAGGATTCATTTTTCATTGCAGTATGAATTGTCATTTTCAGCAGAAAGGGAAAAATGTAAATATGATAACTTACTATTCAATTTATTATTGTATGCATTCTGTTAATGCAGTACTTGTTTCTAAACTATATAAATTAATTCTACTGGGATACATATATCCAAATAGAAGACATGTTAAAACAATCTTTCATATTGTTCCATATCTTTAAAATATTTAAAAAAACACTAAAAGCATTTTCCCTGAGTTTGAAAGTTATTAATGCCTGCAGCTATAACAGAAAATCTGTACTTTCAATAGCTCCCATAATTAAACTGGAGATTTGAGGCCACCAAGTTTGTGATAATTTGTTACAAAAGCCAAAGGAACTAACAGAAAACCTGTGCTCTTAAACGCTTTTTATACCTACCTTATGTATATTTTTTTATGGTAGGTTCTATTTGGTTGAGATCTGGAGTGGGTGCATGTTTCCACACCTCAGACTCCTCCTTTACCTGAGGGTATTTACAAGAGCCATAAACTTAGAAAACAATAAATAACTTTGGACAGGATACAACATAGGATCTATTTTTTTTTAAAGATTTTTGTTTATTTATTTGACACAGAGAGAGAGAGGGAGAGAGAGCTCAAGCAGAGGGAGCAGCAGGCAGAAGGAGAGGGAGAAGCAGGATCCCCACTGAGCAGAGAACCTGATCTCAGGATCCTGGGATCATGACCTGAGCTGAAGGCTGCCACCTAATAGACTGAGCCACTCAGGCATCCCAGGATCTATTTTCTGATATTATGAACAGAAGTGTAGCCAAGAGGAAGGGGTAGGAGTCTTTCTGTGCAAAACATGTTCTCCAAATGACATGTTTGAAGATAATCTGTTATCATACTGTGAAAGGGTAGTGCCTTATTGCTTGTCCAAGGATCAAGCCCAATTCTTCAGCTCAGTTCTGTCCCCAGCATCTCCATACCCCCTCCATGGATTTTAGAATCCAACAGTTCCTCCAGTTGGTTGGTTTGAAATGTATGATAGTATGCCTGGGACATGATTTAGTATTCATCATTGTAATATTTTGAACTCTCACTATCACCACCACTACCACCACCCACCACACCCTCCGATCCCCCCCAAGATATGACTACCAACTTAGAATCCACTTCAGAACTCTAGTTCCAGGCCTCTACTCTAACTGATCCTAGGGTGGCTACCTAAAACGGATTACAGGATTTGATCCATTCCCAAAGGACACCAATCTTAGTGTGATATTATCATTTTCTAGAGATCATGGTTTGTTTTTGGATATCAATGAGCTCCCTATTGTATAATTCTCTAGAAATGTCTAGTGTATCATAAAGATCCAGTTTGTTGTGTGTGTATTTACTTTATTTTTAGTTTTATTCCAGTGTAGTTAACATACACTGTTGTATTAGTCTGAGGCATACAATGTAGCAATTTGGCAGTTCCATATATTACTCAGTGCTCATTAAGATAAGTGTACTCTTAATCCCCTTCCCCTATTTCATGCATACGCCTACCTGGACATGCTCTTCTGGACACGCTTCTGTTTGGTCTTCTCTGGACACGCTTCTGGACACACTCTTCTTCTGGACACGCTCTGTTTGGTCTCTATAGTTAAGAGTCTATTTTTTTTGTTGTTTTTTTTTCCCTCTCTTTTTTTGTTGTTCATTTGTT